TCTAGCTGCACATATTGCACCAGAATCGTGAAGGGCAAGACGTGCTTGCTGTCACAACCAGTGCTTTGCACAATTCCTCACCTTCTATTACATTCAGACACCTTGGTCACATTTCCACAAGCGTGTATGGGGATGAGTCCAAGTCGTTTGTGCTGCTGTTTTACCATAACAAAAACTATGTCATTAAACACCGTTGGACTGTTTTTCACAAACTGCAGATCAAGTAAACCAACATTTCACTTCGGGAAAGCTGAACATATGTTTTTCTGGGACAACCAGGCCCTGACTTCCAAACAATTAGGTCCCACAAATCAGGCTGAAACATGCTACTAGGATTAAATTATAATGCTCTTCCTAGATTCCAAACATAGGTAACACTGGACTTCTTACCCTGGTACAGATCACTGACTTCAGTGCAGCAGTTTTCCCTTTCACCCTCAGGGTGTTACTACATTCTGCCAGCTTTGCTGTGCACACAGAACTCCAAGTGCTGTAAAGGGTTCTTCTTCCTTCAGCCACCCACTTTGTGTGTAATTGCTCAGTAAATTTTCCTTAACATACGTATTATGCAAACGCTTCTCTAATCTTCTGGTAACTCCCTAGCTAACAGTAACTTTTTACTAGATATTCCAGTTCACTAACTACTTTTAAATATCAAAGATAAACCACATGGAAAAGGATTTACGTATTCAGATTATCCAAATAATAACTTACCTGAGTGGGATCTGGGAGGATCAAATCATGGCTTTTAGGTAAATGTGAAGAAATGTTTTCCCCAAAGAGCAGTTACTGAAGCCCAACCTCTGTGATTTCAAGTCAACAGAAATTACCTGCCCCAGCAAGGGGCCAACTTCCATCTATAAGGTGCACAAGATCCTCATTTGCCAAGTGCTTGAGGGAACTTGTGTGGATCACATCCGAACACGGCAATACTAATGCTTTCATAATTATAGCTCTTTAATGCATGAAGCTGATAAATACAAACCAGTGCAGCTGCAGAGCTTTAAGGTTCAGGTGCCATCCCCTTCTTGAAGGAGTAAAACTTGCAGAGACTTGCATGTGCTTCTTTAAACAACAGCAAACTTACTAAGAGCAATCTCACCAAGGTCTAAAGCATGAAACTATGTCAAGGCTTAAAATGGAGATCTTACAAGACCAAGTGCATTTGGCTCTTTGGTAAGCAACAAAACACAGGTGCTACTAAGCTCCATTATGTCAGGCGACTTTAGAAATATCTTCCATACTTAATGATTCTGTAATTCTGTGTCTAAAACCTGATCAATTCCAAACAATTCCTCATGAGTTTGGGCAGAGTAACACAGCATCCTAAGGAACGTGTTGAAACCTCTTCATCTTGGAACATTTCTAGAACTTCTCTCTCTTTTCATGACACAAACTGCAGAGAAAAAATCCATATACTGGTGGAGAAATGAAACGGAAGTTTCATTAGATTTTTCCCTCATCTCGAGCTTTATTTAATTCCATAAAATCTCTGAGTTATTGTTATGCACCTACCACACAAAAGTGTTTCAAGGATAACTGATATGCCTGCAGAGCACTTTGAGGACATAATGTACTATGTGAGTGCCAAGTATTAATAAATGAACTGCAGAAAGAAATCTTATTTCAACTTTCCACCCAAGGAGTTAGTACCTGAATTTTAAAAGCATATGGATCCACTGAAAATATATGTTTTAGCAGTTAAAGATGCTAAATGACAAAATTACAAAACCAAAATATATCCAGAATAATTTCATTTTTCTCTCAGCAAAGTGCAATTCTAGCAGGAGAATCCTAGTTTCACCACAGTCCTGGTTTTTACACTCTCTTTTCCAGCTGACTTGACTGAAGTGCAGGCCATTAATATCTGAAGTGCCTTGTTTTGATTATACTGGCCTTTGCTGGTACCAATCTAGTTAAGGTATCACCAAGAATTTCCAGCATAAAACACATTTACAGGTTTATAACTTGGCTTTTAAAATTCTACTACAAAAAGACAGTGGGAGGCAGAAAGGCTCAGATGAGTGCATTACATTACATATCCTACATGATGCATACTTGCTCACAATGCTATGAAAAAGGGAGGCATTAGCTTTAACTCTGAATTACCATGTTTCAGAAGCCACCTAAAATGATACTTTTACTTCCCTGTTTATGTAATCAAAATGATGTTTTATAAGTGTCTTACCTAATTAGCTAAATTTGTCCAGTTTCATAGTTTGGCTTAAATTACAGAAAGTGTCCATATGATACAGGAATTAAAATGACATGTCTATTGACTGTATTTATACACAGACATTCCCTCCCTTTCTCCCTTCAGAAGTCAATTGTGGCTTGTCTCCAAAGGGTCAGCATCTAGCTGATGGAAAGTTCAGACTGCTAGCAAGTCACAAGCTTAAATGAAGATCAAGGCTGAACAAACCAGCTCTATCTTCTACAAAAAGACAAACACCAAAACAGGAAAGAGCTAGAGTAAGGAGAACAATGCAGGTTACTCAAAATGCCAATCTTAAAGCAACATGTATTTCTGGTCATTGGTATTGTATTTCCTCTAGCCCACCTAAGAACACAATACAACTCTCCATTGCAGCACAGCAACATTAAATATAAAACCTGGCATTAAAGGGCCAAGGGTAATGACATCAGTGTGGGCAACCCATGCTCAGGTAGTGTTCAACTATTATCTCCAGCTTAAGAAGGTTGAAAATATGCAAACGCAGCCAGCACTGGTTTTAGATAAAATTGTCAGTTTTATGGATATTTATAGTATGTGTCCAGTCTTGCAGAACTCCATCTTCCTTCACCTCATCTGTAATATAAACTGCTTTTAGTCCACATTAATACAATGTGTTACTGGGATACTTCTCACATTCTGTATAAGTCAGGCAGGAGATCAATACTCAGCCATGCTGAGGGGAAAAAAATCATTAAGTTAGGATCCTGTTAAAAATACAGACAACAGGAGAATAAACCTGATGCACAACCCCCATTCCATCTGGATGCATATGTAGATCATGCTTTTCCACACATCAAAAGTGGCTTTCTTTTCAATACATAGTTTTAAGGAATCCGACAGGAAGTACCTTTGACAGATATCCTATATGAAATCAAACCCACCTCAAAAAAATTTAACCTCTCTGCTTCTCATGAAAGCTCTTCCCAGCCTTTATATCAACTGCCTTACCCTTACATTTCCTGTGGTGAAATCACAGCACGAAATTGGAATAGCAAAGCTATTTCCACAACAATGTCTGCTGATGACAAGCACAGGTTTATAACTTTTCTTTGGATCAAGGAATAAGAAGATTGAGATAGACATTAGAACTAACATCAATAAACTAAAAATCAAAGGGAAAGCATGCTTACAAAAAAATATATTTTTCAAAAAGTGCAAGTTCTTCTATTATTTGAGGTTGCCTAGTGTAAAGCCTCCTTGGAAATTTTACTGTGCATTTTAGGTTTTTTACCCCTTCAGTATTTTTCACAATGCAAAAATATCCCGCCTGCATCAGACCACTGGTAATATAAGGCTGCTCTGTTTGCCTCAGAAGTAAAAGGAAAACAGAACAGCCACACAACCCTCTTCCTATTGTTCTCCCAGCCCACATTAGAAACAGACACTGATGCCATGCCCCATAGGTCAACAAACTTGAGCTCTGTGAGACAATAATTGCAGAGTTGAGATTCCTCTGAGACACCTTGCCTCCGGCTCAGCAAAGTTTAAATCAAGAAAACAAAAGCTTCAGTGTCCCAGCTGACCTTCACTAGAGTGGACTTGAGGAGAGAAACTGTCTCTCAGAAAGAAGCTCCAAAGCACACTTCACCTTTGCAGTACATCACTCATTCAAAGAAATGGTTTGCAAATACAAGACTTGATGCCCATCTTCTAGTAGGTGTTCAAGCTCTGCTCAGTTTCACAGAAGTCAATGTAAGTTGACAGCAGTAAGCAGCTTGCACAAGCAAGTTACTACCTACTGCTTGTAAGATACTGACACAAGACTGGAAACAATCAAGACCATCCTGTTAGCACCTTCAATAAAACTCTCATATTTTAAGGGGATTTGCTGATGCAGCTTTTCATTCTCACACTCTGCTCAAGTGACTTGACTCTTTGTTTATGTTGGGCTCACAGTACCACCTTGAAGATCCCTTCATCACCATGTTTTGTCATTTCACAACTGCAGTTGCCATGACAACAGGATGCAGCTTATCTGTGCTGTTTTCATATTTCCAGTTTTTGTTGCCATAACAACACATTCTGGCTTTCTACAGAAACAGCAACTTTAAGTAAGCCATGTACTCTCAAGGACACAGGATTCATCATATATGTACGTTCATCAGAGAAGAGATCTGTACAGGCCATTTGTAAATTAAGCTATTTCTTCTGATGGGGGATTTTTCACTCACAAAAGTGAAAAGCTGACAGCAATTGCTAGAGGCAGACTGCTGAGACATCTAAAGTCTGGCCTTTAATAATAGCCAGAGTAATATAGCACTAGGCCACTTCCGAGTGGGGACTCCCCACAGTGTCAGACTGTGTCAAACTGCACAATTGTTATGTGATGTGAGTAAGTGTCCATACTTGATTTACCCAGGCAGATCTGAATTAGATGCTAGATGCAATTCTCTTGAGTTTTAACCCAGTGGCCTCCCCATTATTACCAGCACCACCACCATGCAGCTTTGTGTTTGAAGGCCCATTTTAATTCTGTAATTCAAGCTGTTGTTGTAGATTCGTTTTCAGTCTCTGACCCTCTTCGCTTCCAGGTGACTGCATTTTGAACTTTTATTTACAGGAAGTGCACATTCATCAGACTGGTGAGAAAATGTTATACAAACACAGCATGCATAAACACAAAACAGTGATGGCTATGAGGGGTATCAGCTAACATGGCACTGTAACTTCATTACACCCTCATTTATGTACTTCACTAATGAGACAAGCACAGGTGTCCAACACGGTCCCTCACATGAGATGAATAACAATAATACAGTCCAACCTGCTTTAGCCATGCTTGGTATCCAGAAGATATAAGTTGAAATCCATCTTTTGGCATGTGTATTCGGGGCTAGGAGAGAATAGACATAAAGAGAGACCTCCTTTTACACTGGGACCTAGCTAACCTAAGTCTAAATTCTGGAGCATTTTAAACAATGCAGATTTTTTTAAGCCTCATATGAAGGTTTAGTCCCCAGACTAGTTCTTGTTTACTGCTCTGATATCAGCTGCTTTAAGAACACATTTTTAATAAAGTCACCATTTTTATGTTTTCCATCATTTTACATTTCAGTTCAGTATATATAAGTATTTTTTTTTAATTTCCACAAAAATGCGCTTGGATAAGCACAGCCTCTGTGGTGGCTGCAGTAGCAAAGACTAATGGTCATTAATGCTCTTGACACTACATAAAAAGCAGATGGTGTCAAAACAGCAGTAGTCAAGCTATGAGTGTTTACACGAGTTACCATCCTCAACATGGTCAGACCAGACACTGGACAACATGAAGAGATGACAGAAAATTCCTGAAGAGGTACAGCCTTAATATCAGGGTAACAGGTTATTATACTTACACACAGTCATAAATTATGCCTCAAATCAACAGAAAAATATAATCTCCCCCTCTTTTACTGTTTCCAGTAATAAAGATTGCCTGTCTTTTAAAGGAAAGGCAAGACATCAAATTGCTCTAGAAGCATAAAACATATACAGCACAACTTACAGCTAGGAAAAGGTATGCAACAAACCCCAAAACACTGCCTAGCATGACATTTATTTGTAGTTCAAAGATACTTCCACGTTCAAGTGGATTCAAGTGTTCCCCGTCCCCCCAAAAAAGGAGATGCTTAGAAATTAAAATCACATCTAAGCAACAGGACCAGACAGAACATCCACAAACACCAAGTCCAGAGATTTTTCTTACTCCCAGAAACTACTTCACAATCCCTTTCTTAACTCACAGTACTTCCCCTCCAATCAGATGTGTGCCCTACCACTCTTCCTGGAAAGGCTGGAAAAACCTTACTTATTTTCAGAATGAAGATGAACTTAACCTAACTTGTTCTTGAGTCAACACAATATTTCATTTGTACAAACTGCATCCACGTTGGTACTTGTAACACCAAAAAACACAATTGGTTGGAGAGAAAAAATGTGTTACGGCTGAATGACAAACCTTCACACCTATGGTAGGCAGCCTTGGAATTTGAAAATAAAATAACAACCAGAACAGACTAAAATCTTGCCTCTAAAGAGGAGTACACACTCAGGATTTTGCAGTATACTTTGAGCACTTGTTATTTTTGCTTCTCTCCAGTTTCAATTTAAATCCTCCTAAATCTTTCAAAGTAGTAGTAAGATTATGCCCTGGTGTCCTAGCCAATGATCTCAGTTGAACATGAATTTTAATAACCACCATTGTGCTGATAAATTAAAGTCAAGTATGTCTGGTTACTGCATTCACCTGAATTGGACTTGCAATGCTTAACACATTAACAAACTATGTTTTAAGAGACTTCTCACACAGCTAGAAGTATCATCCTCCAAGACCTAATCCTTCCTTCAGCACTAATGTCATGGGTGGTTAGTCTCTCTACGACTGTAAAATGGGGACAACATTCATTTAACCTACCTCACAAGTTTGCTGAGAGGAGCTCTTGACATTTCTATGTGCTTTGGAAATGGAAGAAACTATATGAAGTGCTGCATATTTAGCAAGAACACTACAGAAATATTTTTACTTCTGCCTCAAGTTTCTTTTTCTAAGTAGCACAGTATGTATCTATCCAGGGAAAAAATAAAAGTCATCATAAACAAGCAGAAATAACAATCATTTGAAAATCAGTGTTAGAAGTAGAGAGACCTGGATACCAGACTCAGATGTGCTCAAGTTCACAAAATAAATTGTTGTGATGATAGAAACAAAATTACATTTACAACAAATTGTGAAAAATTACTTAATTTCTTTTTGTCACCCAACCTACAAATTAAAGGATAACAGTCAAGCTCTTCAGAAGAGCGAGCTGCTTAACATTTGCTAGCCCATCAGTCCAGAGCAGTCTGAATAATTGATTTAAGACACTGACTTGAACCATTTAATTTGAAGACCCTGGTCCTGCAAATATGCAAGTGTATTAATAGATCTGTTGCCAGCAACAGGATTACTCTAAAGCAGAAGTGTTTGCAGTAGTAAAGATAACACTGTATTTCTATTGAGACAACTCTTACCAACACAATTTTTGTGACTCCAAAGTAAAGTTGCTTGAGTATTGTAATAAAAGCAATCAGAACTTTCAGCAGATTAGCAGCTACTGTAAACTCAATTTATTTTTCAATGCTGATTAGTGGAACATAAAAATAGGAGAAACTAAGACACATCACTCATCCCTCAATACTGTATTTGCAAAATCCTCTTAGTGAGGTATGTCTCCTCTGCATTTGTCTACTCTCACCTAAGAAGAGAGACTACATAGAAGAGAAGCAAATTTTACCAGCACGAGGTATGTGTGCCATTACCCACATACTGCTGCTTATGCCATTAAAGTGGGATATTTGCACAAGTGAGCCCCCATTTACATCAAAATAAGCACAATGGAAAATCGTAATTTAATTAAAATTTCTCAGATTGATGATTGGTTGTAAAAGTTTAGCCAGTCTCCTAAATTCTGAATCTCTGTTGTTTTCCAAGGCACACTGTAAATGACCCCTAGGAATGCATTCTTCAGCAGAGAGGCAATTAAAGTAATACATCTGGTTAAAATATTCTGAATTGCAGTATCCCAGTGTCAGCAGACAGGACTGTAAGAGGACCGTCAATTTCAAAAATAAAATAAAATTGCACCTCTTCCCTCCAGCCTTAAAAATATGTGGGACCCAGAAAACTGTCTTGTTTGAAAGCTGTATTAATTTATAAATCAACACTAAACTCTTCCATGATTATGATCCATTCAAAGCAATTCCATCAGCAATACAATTAATTGCCCAGCAAGACCTACTCATTTTTGTATTTTCATGAGCACACATCATTTATGCTCATGGTTCAATACCATTCATAAGCACAGTATTTTCTCTCGGCATCTGCTCCAGCATTTTCCTTGACTAGAAGTTAGACTGCTTGAGGAATTTTGCTCTTTTTCAATAGCACTGACAGTGATTGCTTTCCTCAAAAAGTAACTCTGAAAGCACTCTAACTCCTAATTCACATGATGCTATTTTGTGAGTATTTCACATTTTGATTTAGGTGAGTAACAAATTTGTAATATAACCTAGTCTACTTCCTTTTCCAAAACATTCATGTTTATTATTGAGGCCTTGCTTTAAATGTGAGCCTTCCATTACCACAGATGGCTTATTCCACAACCATCAGCATCTTACTCACAGTTCTGAAATGCAATTTTACTGGGTATGAAATCTTTACTCTCTCTCTAGTCTTTCTGGTGTGCACAGAACTTGTTATCTATACGTTAGCCATATATTAAAATTACATATATTGCATCTGTCCATAAACTGGGGAGCCAAAATAGCTTACTTTGCTCATCTCTTTGTCTGTAACCCTTGACTTTTTTTCCTTTAGTAATCTATTCTTCCATTTTTAATCTATTTGATTTCTGCAGTCCCTAGCAAGGCCCAGAACAACAGAATGATTCCTGAGAACAAGTCAGCAATTTAAAATGCAGTGGTACCCTCTCCACTTCTCTACCAAGGCTGATTTTCAGAGGACATTTAATTACAGGCCTGAGTTCCTATTTTCTAAGCCTAAACACAACCCCTGAAGGCTTACAAGATTTGAGTCACAGCTGGAGCTGTGGTTACTATACAGTTTAAATATCAGCCTCTTTACTGTGCAATTTGTTTCGAAAATCAAATCAGATGCTGTGTCATAAACAAGTGCTAATTAAGTATTGAGCGGAAATTGGGCTTTTTTGTGCAAGAAGGGTTCTTAAATATCTGCATCTTCAATTCCATAAGAAAGGATAAATATGTCAAGAATGATAATTATAAAAGGAAACCTACTATGATACTTCCAAGGCAGTACTGCTGCTGCTGCATTTCATCTGCTTCCACGTAAGAAGAAATGAGGGGGGAAAAAGTTGAGACCTGTATGAAATATATATGTACTAAGAATCTTATTAATCTGATCATATCACCCATAATGCTTGCTGTTCCTCAGAGAAGGCATTCACTCTGGGTTTCCATCACATAGGATTTAAACAAGCAAACTTATCTCTCTCCATCACTGCAAAGCAATAATGAAACGACTTATATTACCATTTCTTTTAAGTCATGATCTACACACTATTTATTTGACAATAGCATTGAATTCATTAGATATAACACCTTGTTTGATAAATATCAAACAGGAATAATGCATTTCAGTACTCTGAAGGTTGCCTCTGAGTAACAATATTCACGACTCCATTAACTAACAGGCTCTCGGCTACAAAAGCAGAATTAGATCTGTCAGTCAGTGACATGCAAGGGCATGGCCAGTTGCACTGAAGATTGTCCAGTTGAGATGACTTCTACAGAAAGGAAAGTATTCCCTGTGGCCTACAACTTGTAATGAGTTTGCATCCATTACAGTAATAAACTGAATTCCTATTACAGAATACACAACTTAATGGCACAAAGAGATCCCAGACTCTACTGCCAAAGCAATACTCAAAATAAGTCCACCGTTAGATCTGTGGACTCAATTCAACAAAACCAAATACATGACTTCAAAATCTTTCCTTGTTCTTAGGAGAAAAGCCTATGAGCTATCTGATCCTAAAAGCTTAAGTTGCCAATACTTAAGTGTGTCCTTTGTGAGATTTTGTAGAAAGAATGAACAAACACTAAGTCAGCTGACTGTCAGGTCTCACAGTTTGATATAAACTCCTTCAGAAGGACACAGCACTCTCGAACAGTAGGCTCTGACTGCCTGTGAACTTAATGAGCTCACCACACGTGGTGAACGTGGCTACTCCAGTTCTGTAATGAACCTGCCTGAGTCCGTTGACTGAGATCTGCTCAAAACCAACTCCCCTTGGAGACTGTCTATTTATACACCTTGACAGATAAACAGATGCA